TGTCCAACTACCTACCCGTGAAGTGCATGAGAACTCCCTATGTACTACTCGGCCTGCCTCCTGACTGCAGGGCGAGGCAGTCCAGGAGGCTGCTCTTGCCAATGTCGAAGGGAGCCACGGGCTGTCGTTGCAGCTCCTGCTGAGGCTGTCGTGGGAACAGGCCAAAAATAGCCTGTTCCCGAAACCCTGGTTTTGTGCCTGAGTGTTAGGGCAGGTCGATCTTATGAGGGCCCGAAAGTGGCCCTCCGTTTCAGGCTGAAAAGCCCTGTTTTAGGTTGAAACGACATAGGGTCTGCAGGCCCTCGTTTTCAGTCTTTCAGGCTGAAACGACACGGGGCCTGTAAGCCCTTATTTCTAGGCTTTTAGGCTGAGAATGCAGGACGGGCCCTGCAGGCCCGTGTGGCTACGCAGTATGCCACACACAGACAGACTTAGAAAACACAGCAGAATGCGGGAATCTCAGCAAGGCATCCATTCCATCGGCAGAACTTCAGAAATCAGCAGTGTTCTCAGACTGTGTTTTGACGGGTCATTACACTGCCCCCCCTCAAGAGCGAGGTCCCTTCGAGCGAGTAACTCAATCAGAGTCCTTGCATAATGCATCGTAAGCATAGATGGCAAAGAGAGATCGGGTGTGTTCCGTAGGGGTGAGTGTAGCAGTGAATTTCGGTTGCTGTTCAGAGCTAATCAATCGTTCATATGCGTTGACGACTCGCGGAGCACTGTGCAGCAAGTCTTTCTTAGCGATACAGTAGAAGTCACTCAACGGGTGGTGAAGGAAATGTACTTTGTACTGTCTGTTTCTCGCCTTTCCACTAGGCTCAACAATTCTATCTACCTCATGGCCGCCATTGATTGCGCGAGGAATCATCGATTCTCGATACGAAAATGTCTCAGGTGGTTTATACGGAAACAACTTCGATGCGTGAAAGACAGGATATGTGCGCAGGTGAGCAGGCACATCGATCGTGTAGGAAGGACCAAAGGAATCATTGCCTACTTGGTTCAACACCTTCCATGGACCATAGTACTGAGGAAGAAGTTTTCGTGATACGCCTTCTTCTTCAGAAAACTCAGACATCTTGACCCAAACATAGCTTCCCACTGTGAAAGGATCAGGTTGGCGTTTTTTGTTTGCATGTTTAATCATAGCACTGCGTCGCTTCTCCAAAGCTGCGACAGCAACTTTGAGCAAACGATCATACTTAGCGTTGGAGCCTCGCTGGCCAGGTGTCAGGCCAGGTGGCTGGTCAGGAAACAGGTAGGATAGGGGATTGCGAATCTGCCAACCGAGGTGCAGTCGATTAGGTGTCATCCCAGTGGAGGAGTGTATGGAGTTGTTATACAATCCCAGCACAATCGGCAATTCCTTATCCCAAGAGTTCTAATCAGGCACAATTAGAGCTCGGAGAAGTTGGATCACCGTCTGGTTGACGTCCTCAGCCAGTCCATTGGCTTCGG